GAACCCTGAAGGTAACGGGGGATCCTGGGGTGGCACCCACAGGAAATGGGGGTGTCCAGGGCAGCACCCTACAGGTAACGGGGTGGTCTGGGGAGGGGGTCAGGAAGAAGAACCCCCCCCCTAGACCCGGCAGAGCTCCTCACTGCTTTGTGCCCGGTGTAGGTGGTCCCCGCCAGGGCTGAGGGTGATGCTGCACCCCCCGGGTGGGGGGACACCGGTGCCCATCGATTGCTGCCTCGAGCTGGGATGTCCCTGCATGTCCTCCAGTTGTCCCCTAAATAACACCACAGAGGAGCCCAGGTATCCCCCCCAAATAATCTGGGGGGGCTCTGAAGCCTCCCCAGGTGGACCTTCAACATCACCCAAGGGGATGGGGCTTCACCAGCCGTGCCTGGCCATGGGGTGACACATGGACCGATGCTCTTCCCGTGATCACATCATGCAAGAGAAGAGCCACGAGAGCGTGGGTAAGGACCTTCTGCCCCCCAAATTTCAATAGCTCTCTCCTTTTTCCACGGCTCCTCTGCCTGCCGTTCCCCCAGGCAACCAACACACGTCTCCTTTAAGAGTGTCTGGACCACGAAGCCATCAACAAGAACAACCAGGGACAAACCCGCCCCACACCATGATAAGGGAGGTGGCGATAAGAGCAAACCTCATTAGTGGCGCTAAGGGGCAAGGCTGTGCAGAGTGTGAGAAGGAGGATAAGGAAAGGCGGGGAGACAAGCAGGCAGAGACCTAAAACCTGCCCAATTAGCGTTTACGAAGAGGCTAAGCAGAAACAAACCTCGCCAGTCATGATAATGGGAGGGCTTCTACCCACCAGAACTTTGAAGTTCTACGGAGAGCTTGGCAGCTGATAAGGATGCAAACGCTGGGGCGGGGACTGTGCGTCTGGAGGAGGTCATGAGCAGGGGAAGAGGGGGCAGGGAGGAGAAAAAGCGGGGGCAGACAAAAAAAAGGGGATAAAAGGGGCTGGTGGTGTCCTACAAGGGGGTCAGTCTATGCGTTGGCCGTTGCAGTTTGACCTGTCTTCGTTATTCAGTCTTTCTCTTAACTATTTCTGGACCCAGTGACAGCTACTGGGCAGGGGACTGGTGTGAATGGGTTTGGGGTCATCTACAGGAGTCAGACTGGGGGTGTCAGCACCCCTGGTCTGTGGTGTCAGCTACTGGAGTGGGCGGAGGTCTTGCTGGAAGGGCTCCAGCAGCTGGGCGGCACCGTACTGGGTGGTACTGGGCTGGGCTGGCGCTGCTGGAGGAGGTGGCTGCTCTTAACATCCCTTAGCACATCTCAAATGGCCCCCTTTGGTCTCCCAGCAGGTGATGGGACAGACAGCGAGAAGAAGAAGGAGTCGCAGCCCATGGAAGAGGACAGGGTGATGCTGGAAGGACCCAGAGAGGAGCCCCAGAACTCCAAGGTGGACATGGACCATGATGTTCAACATCAGCCAGATGATAAGCAAGGTAGCAAAGTACCAAGACGCCCCCGAAAATGCTCTTTCAAAGGGACGTATGCTGAAGACCTTCAAGAAGACGCAACCCAACCAAGGAGTAGCTCCAGGGGGAAGGTGTACAAGTGTGTGGACTGCAAGAAGATCTTCACCTGGGGGAGCAGCCTGACCCGGCACCGACGGATCCACACGGGAGAGAAGCCCTTCAAGTGCCTGGACTGTGGGAAGAGCTTCACGCAGAGCGTGGTCCTCCTGCGGCACTGGAGGACACACACCAAGGAGAAACCCTTTCTCTGCACCACGTGCGGGAAACGCTTCTCCTGGCGCTCAGACCTCATCACCCACCAACGCATCCACACGGGAGAGAGACCGTACGCCTGCTCGCACTGCGAGAAGACCTTCCGGAAGAGGTCTCACCTCATGAGGCATCAGCAAGTCCTCCATGATGGTGAGTCCTTGTGGGCGGCGGGGCTTAGCATGAGATGTCCCATGCCCTGGTGGAGCCGTGGGTGGGGATGGCCCAGAGAAGCACGTGGTGGGGCTGCGTTGGGATTCCTGCTCCCAGCGTGGCAGCAGCGATGGGGTGGGAGATGTCCCTGGGGATGGATTTGCTCTGTCCGCAGGTTGGGTTGAGCTGTCGGTGGGGATAGTCCTGGTCTGAGCAGAAGGTTGGACTGGAGACCTCCAACTAATGGAACTGCGCTGGAAGAAACTCCTCTGTGCAGGGGGGTTCATGAGTCAGTCTTGATGATAGCAAATGGTCTCCAAGAATATTTCCCAGGTTCATTTGTGGACATGGAGGCCTCTCTTCACCCATCCTCCACCACTGCAAATGCCCTCCTGGGTCTTCCCAACTTGCATTGCCCCAACAGATACTTGGTTTTCTCCTCCATCCTTGCTGGTGGAGGTCCTCTCCCCTCCTCTGCTCCACTCATCTTGAATTGGTGCAATGGCTTTGTCCTTCTCGAGCAGGCACCAAGAGCGCCCAGATGGAGCCAGGACAACCACCCCGGGTGCTGGAGGAGAAGTTGGAGAGCAAGAAGCAGCAGACACTGACGAGACAAAGGGGTGGCGTGAAGGACACTCACGCAGCCACAAGCAAGCCGGTGGCCCGTGCCAAGCAGAAGACCCATAAATGCCCAGAGTGTGGGAAGATGTTCTGCTGGAGAAACAGCCTGAGACGCCACCAAAGAAATCACACGGGAGAACGACCCTACAAGTGCCCAGACTGTGGGAAGACCTTCAATGACTTCTCCAACCTCGTGTCCCACCATAGGATCCATAAGGGAGAAAGACCATATGAGTGCCCCGAGTGCGGGGAGTGCTTCACCCAGAACTCGAGCCTTTCCAGGCATCGGAGGACCCACACTGGAGAAAAACCCTTTTCCTGCTCTGATTGCGGGAAATCCTTTACTCAGAAGCAAAAACTCATCTTGCACCAGCGGATCCACACCGGGGAGATGCCATACAGCTGCCAGCAATGCCAGAAAACCTTTCGGACCAGCTCCCACCTCACCACGCACCAGCAGATCCACACGCAGGAGAGCTCCCACGCATGCCTGGTCTGCGGGAAGTCATTCAGTGTGGGCGCCGAGTGTCTTCTCCATCAGAGGACCCACTTGGAAGAGGTGCCGGTGGGCCCGGGTGCTTCTCCAGGGGGTGATGGGCCATGAAATTAGGGGGTTGTTACTTAGATAGGGACTTCCACCCCTTTGGTCTCATCCCATAAGCCTGGTGATCTTGGAGGAGGATATTCGGAGATGTCTGGGGATGCTAATGCCCCACCGAGATTTTTTTTTGGGGGGTGAGGGGTTGGGTGAGCCCCTCTCTGCTTTTAAACACGAGTGCCTGCACATAGATGTAAAGAAGGTAGAGATTTACTACCAGGTGCCTTGGGCACATGGACAACGTGGCTCTTCCTTCACCCCAGTACGTGGGACCATCACATCCAAGAGCCCCAGCATCTCCATGGGGACTTGTGGGTCCAGGGAAAGGAGATGTTTAAGAAATGCCGCCTTCCTGGGAAAAACAGGGTGCTCCCATGAGTCCAAAGGGATTATAAAGTCTTGTTAGCCAGCGGGGTCGTTAACAAGACCCAAGGTTGAACAAACTGATGGACCGCGTTGGTACGACGTTTTGGTGGGATGCTGGTTGGCATCTCGGGTCTTGTTTTACAAGCTGTGACCGTAGTGTTGTGTTTTATTCAGTTTGCTCTTAATATGTTTATCTCTACCCGTTCATCACTTGCTTCGTTAAAAGCATGTACCATTAATTATTACCTAATTATAAACTGTCAAGATGAACTTCAATGATGGTGCTCACCAAGGCTGAGGCTTTTGTGCTTCCCGGTGGATTACAGGGATATCGGACCATGATGGTGGGGGGATGAGCCGCTCTCACCAGTGGCTCAGGGACTGTTTTACCCCAAGGAAGGAGACACTTCCGATGGGGAAAACTTTGGCAAAAAGCCTCGAGAGGTTCGGAGGAAGCAAAAATTCAGCCAGGACCCTGCAATAAAAATTTGAGCATATGGGATGCTCCCTTCATTGTGTATGTGCACACACACACACGCGCAGACAAGTGTATGTATATATCCCCTTGTAGTAAATAGAAGAAATACCTCTTTTTTTTTTTAAGTTTTGATCAAATATTGTGGATCTCGCTCATAATTTCAGATTCATGTCCTGTTCATTTAACAGTGAATAGATCTGGGGGATGCACAAGAGATGGGGAGGAGGGACACAACCAGGCAGAGGACCCGACCCAACCAAAGAGATACTCCTGGCTCTATCACCTCGTGCTCAACAATAAAATGGGGAGGAGGGGGTTTGGGAGTGGGGGTTGGCCAACTTCTGGTCAGGAACTGGCTGGGCATCCGTCTCCCCATAGGAGGTGGTGAGTGCTGGCCTTTGCATCACTCCTCCTTCTCCTTCTCCTTCTCCTTCTCCTTCTCCTTCTCCTTCTCCTTCTTCTCCTCCTTCTCCTCCTTCTTCTCCTTCTCTCCTCCTCCTCCTCCTCCTCCTTCTCTTTCTTTCTCCTTCTCCTTCTTCTCCTCCTTCTTCTTCTTTTCTTCTCTTTCTCCTTCCTCTTCTCCTTCTCTTGTTAAACTATTTTCATCTCCACCCACGAGTTTTCTCACTTTTCCTCTTCTTTTCCCCTTCCCGCGTTCACCCACAGTGGGTGCGAGCAGCCAACAGCCCAGCGCTGCCC